TAAGAAGGGTCCTTTCTGATTTTTTTTTCATACAATTGAAAAATCAAATTTTAAATGAAGCGCACTCCTCATGCTCCATGAGGCGTGCGCCTCAGATTTAGAGGCGTGAGCCTCATATTTTTAGCCTCAAAAATACCGTTTCGAGGCATACTACATGCGCCTTACTCGCCTCACTACCGCCTTTTTATACCATGCTTTTCCCTACTTTTTAACTACACATTTTCCAAAAATTCACTAATTCAAAATATTGAAAATCCTAAATAATGGCCATAAAGCGGCGAATAAAATTTTCAACTTTCACCAATAGAAAAATTATTTACTCGTATGTTAACTTGTTAAGCTTATTCAAACACGCTCATAGTCGAGAATTCGACTACTGGAAGATAGCATACCTGCATTTCATGGGGAAGTGCTTCAGAAACTGCAAGAGTGTAGCAACCAGGAACAAATCTTCCTGAAAAAGGTTCAAAAGAATCATACAATCTAAGTGACCAGGATCCGAATTATTGGTTTAACAAACATAAAGGTACTGACTAAAAAAGGATATGCATAGCATAAATTAGCAAAATCTAATATCTTCCCAACTCCCAAGTAAATTTCAGAAAGATGAGAAACAAAAGATTGCTCCATGAGGCAAGATCTAATATCTTCCCAAGTAAATTTCAGAAAACTTGAGTTCACAGGACTATTCCTCCCAGCTCTTGGCTGGAGGAATCTGACTAGTAATCAAATGTAATCCTATAATCTGAAGTTCATCATTTATATTAATTTGTCAAATATATAACTTGACATGAAAAGATTTTCAAATTTATTCTCAAATCCCTTCCATCCCTTGTATTTGTTTTAGCCAGATAAGTTTCTTTTTCTTCAATAATGATAATAGAATAAAAAAGGGTTAATCATAGGAGGATACAATTCAAAGCCTTTAGATGAGAGAGCTAGACAGATAAAAGAACCAAGAAGTATCATAGCAGGGTTGGAATGTCAAAGAAATAAAAAATTATAGACAAATTACATAAAGCTCTTTAAGCTTGGCAATTGAAGGCACACAACCTGTGTATAAATCCCAACTCCACCTTCTACAAAATATCTATAAAACACGACCACAGAGTGGCTACTTCATTCTTTCACGGAAATAGAAAAATCTGATCGAGCAGCAGTGTTTCCAAGTAGACAACAATTTATAGAAAATAAAAATTGCCACTCTCCATGAACAAGCAATCTGATAATCCGACGGTATTGGTCAGGCAGTGTTTAGTAGAAAAAATGTTTGTACAGAACAACTGCAGCACGAAAACCAAAACTTGGAGTCCGGGTTTGAATGGCAGAACAAATGTAGGATATAACATATCTATAAAATATATTTAAAATGCAGAAAAACATAATTTTAAAGTACACCATTGAAACCCGCAAAAAGACTCATTAGATTTAATTATATAGGTGCAGCATGAAGAAATGTGGATAATAGCAAAGGGCGATAACATCAAACTTAGCCCTTGCTGCAATAAATTGA